ATTCATCGGGCAGATGGCCAATTGCTTGGGCACACGGCTAATTATATCGGGCACACCGCCAAATATATCGGGCACACGACCTCGGTGTGCCAAATTAAACGGGCACATGGCTAATTATATCGGGCACACCACCAAATATATCGGGTGCACGGCCAAATACATCGGACATTCGTCCAACTTAACTGCAAAAAGGTGTAGTAACGTTAATTGTAATGAGGTACTGTAGTCCCACCACTCAACCTCTGGAAATTGTACTAACTTACCTAGTATTAATAGTTAATGAATCGTCCCAACGAAGTTGAACCATTACTCGACCTCTGCAAATTGTACCTAGTTAACTACTGAGCGCTTAACTAGCCAGCCCTTGGTTAACGGCCACCTTTGCAGGGCGACTACTACGTCTACTGGGTCACACCACTGTCGCTTGTGTGTTAGCAGCCACTCGACGACTTCCACATGGTTGTGCATAACCGCGCCCCAGAACGCCGCCGACGTGCATCCTTCGCTTCGGTGGGTGTGTAGGAATTTCACCACTTTCAAATGTCCACAGGTGGCCGCGCCGTCCATGGCGCTCGTGGTGCCTCCTTCTGGTCGATGCACGTGCAGCCACGTCACCATATTGAGATCTCCTCGTGTAGCAGCCGCGTTCATAGCCAATCGCGTACATCCTTCGGAGCGGTTGAGGTGGAGAAATCTCACAATGTCCAAATGTCCTCCAATGGCCGCCGCGTCCATCACGTTGGGGCCGCATGGAAGATGATGATCATCATAATGATGATGCAAGAAGCGGACGGCCGCAAAGTGTCCTCCCGCGGCGGCGGACTCCATCGCCCGCATACTCATCCGAAGGCCAGGCCGATGGCGATGCAGGAACTCAAGCACATGCACGTGTCCATATGTTGCGGCTAGATCCATCATGTCGGGCGTGAATACCCCATCGACTTGACGATCGTGGAAGAATTGCAGGATTGACATGTGGCCGTAGACGATAGAAATAGAGATCGCGGATTCATGAAGACTAGCATCCTGTGGACGATGAGTAAGGAGGAACTCGACGATGTCGACCCGACCCATGGAGGCAGCCACATCCATCGCGAATGGCGTTGCAACGGTGTTGGACGCATGTTGCAGCAGATGCGTCAACATGGCGACGTGTCCGCCGGCCGTGGCAATGTCCAGGAGGGGCGGGTCGTCGTCGTACTCCCGAAGGGATACCACGTGGATGAGATCGAACCGACCAGAGTAGACAGCATGCACAAGAACGACACCTCGCATGTGACCCATGCACGCATACAAAGACGGAAGACGGTCGATGCCATACTCCTTCAACCACGACGACAACACTGTGGCGATCATGGCAAACGCTGCGTGCACGTCGTCTTGCCATGTCAACGAGGGCCGACGTAGCGCCCGGAAGCAGCGCATGTGCTTGGGGCATCCAGGTTGATACATCGTCACCTGCTGGACTAAGTCCTTGGACTGCAGCACGACCTTCGCAGCAGCGGCCGACGTCATTTTGAAACGACGTGCAGCAACAAATCCTCCAGCATGTTTTATTGATTTTAAATATTTTATATTGATTTTAAATGCATAGTTTTAACAGTATACATTACTGTACGTAGGGATTAAAGGACTAGTAGTACTACGATCATTTATGCATTTATACAGGAAAACCTTCAGTATTACTAGTAGTTACTAGTTGGGAACACATACTAATTTGATGTCGTACGTGGTGGCATACTAACTATTATGTATTTATACAGGTATTGTCCGTGCAATCGATGGAACTTTTGGCGCACTTCGAAGGTTGCGCAGAAAACTACCGCGATGGATCCTGCGATGATGGAGCAGTATGCAGATGTACGTGCATACTCCTACGAAAATGGAGCGAGGTATCATGAAGCATGTTGGTAGTGGCTGGACGACTTGGAGAAGTCCGACCCGAAGGCGTATGGGCAATTCATCCAAGACATGCAAGCAAAGATGCATGCAGCGGGTGGCGGCGACGACCCGAGTGCCGCAATAGCAGCTGCCATGCCGACGTCCGTTCCAGATCAACTCAAGTTTCCCGGGAACAAGGTCATGCAACGTAACGGCATCGAAGAGCAGAAGGAAGGCATGTACGTGGACGTCACGCCTGGCTTTGTCATGAAGACGACCGAACAGCAGTCCAAGACCAAGGTACCTGTCCTTTCCCATGCATATATCGTCTGACACTAGTATATCTCACGGTTGTGCAGTTGTTTGTGAACATTTGCTCGTCGGACCATATCCAAATCTTCTCCAAGAAGAAGCAGCTCGACGAGCACGGCGACGAGCAGGAAGGCATCCACGTCCCGTTGAGTCTCGGACCTCCGCACGAAGTCGTGGATCATGCTCAGAAGACATGCTTGGCGGTCGACGTCGCCGTCAACCCCGGGGTACGTACAACCTCCCCATCTTGCTCATAACTCGTGTCAGTCCTTTCTCAACCCCCGTACATATGCAGGTCTTGGACGACTGCAACAACGACGCAACCTTTCGACACTTTGTGTGCGAGTTGGCGCTGCAGTACTTGGCTGAAAAGTACAAATTCGTGTGCGACCCCCAGTACAAACTGCCCAAGCTGTCGTACCGCGGGACGTTGCCGCCGTCGCGCCATTACATCCGCAAGACCCAGGCGCCCGTGATCCAAGAAGTATCGGCGGCTCCATCCGCCATCATCCCTCCCCCAAAGGAACTTCAAACTCCCACATGGCGCCTCTTTCACGGCCACTCGGACCAAGAAGAATGCATGATCGTTCCTGCATGTGAAGGCGGGCCGTTACCGACGCGCGACCGACTCGCCGCTGCCCCCGCCATGTTGACGGCCGTGATTGAGTTCCCTTCCACCTCTTTCCACTCGGGTCTCGTACGTTGGCTGCATATATATATATATATATATATATAGTGAATGCGCTATAAACTTCCAAAATTCGCGTGGTTTAATGTTGACGGAGCTCTGATTGGCTGACTATACTTGTTTTTGCTGCAAGAGCCAATCAAATCCAGTCAAAATTGGATTATTAGCCAATAACATCGATTCGTGATTCGTTTCGGTGGCGAGATACATTCGATTCGACGGAGTCTAGAAACTCGTACCGAATCCACAATATATTGCCTTTTTTTCTATATGTGGTGGTGAATTTTAAATATATATATATATTTATCTATTTTCTAGAAGACAAGTGACGCCATGGACATTCAGCTAAACGCAGAATATGTGGTGATTGCCGCGGCGGGATATCACGATGTTGGTACGTACGTCCTGCAGCTGCGTGCTTGTTGGTTGGATGCACTGTATTATATATATATATATATATATATAATATTTATGTAATATTTCTAAGTGCCTCTTGTAGCTCGGTTCTTGCCGTATCCAATTCAAGTAGACGCCGCCGTGGCATCTGTCGCGGGGAGCAAGCTGACCCTCGTGCTCCCAGTCGACAAAGCGTGGACCCCTACCACTACTCGCGCCGGT